TGTTGACTGATGCAGTGATGGGGTTTGTTTTGGCAATGAAGGAGACGTTTTGAAGATGGAAGGGGATGGGAAGGGGCAATACACTTTATTTGCTATATATGACAAATGATGGGTTAATAGAGGTTTTCTAATTGCGGCCTTGGGAACAATTAATTGGTGCAGATATTTCTTGGCAAGAACCTTTTTATAAACACAATAGGTCTCTCTCTCCCAATTAGTTGCCTATAACCATGTCTGACCTGAGGCTGCCATTCTGAACACTCCACGTTGATTTTGTTGGAAGTTGCATTGTGCTGTAGTTTTATGTTCCGTTAGTTTGAAAGAAATATTCAACTGAACTATGTGAATGGACCTTCTTGAGCTCAGGTTACTAGCTTGTTGAACCGGATGCAATTAAGTGCCAAACACACTCTGCCAGATGAGGGACAATGCAACATCACTGTGTCTGTACCTCCTACCAGAAGTGATGTTCTACATCCATGTGATGTTATGGAGGTATTGTATTTGTATATCTGTATCACCGTTACGGCTACAATTTGTCACTCTTTATTTATGTATATGCCGTTCTTTCTATTTGCATTAAGGATGTGGCAATTGCTTATGGATATAATAACATTCCAAAAAGAAAGCCTGCATCTTTAAAGCCTGTGCCCTTGAACCAGCTCAGTGATCTTATTAGATTGGAGGTAGGCTAATGTGGAGTTTTATTATTTGCTGTATATGATTAGTTCTTCTTTTTCTCATCTGCATAACATCTCTTTACTTTTGCCTGTTCATTTTTTTGTAGATTGGCATGAATGGGTTTACAGAGGTCTTGACATGGATATTATGCTCCCACAAAGAGAATTTTTCTATGTTGAACCGCAATGATGATGGATCAGCAGTAATAATTGCAAATCCTCGTTCCTCTGATTTTGAGGTTTGTACAATTTTGAGTTCATCGTTGATGAATTAAAAGATCCTTACATGTAAATATTGTGCAGTTTGGGTCTCAAATTTATGTTATTGACGCTGCTATTTCTTGGTCAGTTGACAGTAGTTTCCTTAAATATGACCAATAATCTTTTTCACCACAAATTGATATTTTTTTTTAAAAATAGTAGCCTTGATTAGTGAATGATGGTCTGGTTTCTCTTTCTAGAATTTGCATTAAATTGTTTCTTCAGTTTTGCTGCCTGTGTCATATCTTTGACAGGGGAGCTTATCCTGACTACTTGTAATTAGCAAATTTGGTGTTTTGCAATGTTTGGTCATTGCAATTATTGGCTTTATTTTGTTCTCCATGGAAATTTACGAGCTGCATGAAGAAACTCTCGCCCTGATTCCTCTCTCTTTGTTTAAGGTTTCTCGTCCTTTTCCACAGGTAGTTCGGACAAGTCTTATGCCTGGCATACTGAAAACAATTGGACACAACAAAGATCATCCAAAACCTATTAAGGTATCCGATTTTCAGTTCAACTGTTTTATACCCTGGAATATTTTATGGTAACTGACAAAGTTGTTAATCGCTAGAAATTGTCTGGCATACCTTAGTTGGAGCAACACATTAAACATATGTATTTGTATGTATGATGACTCGATTCAACATTGTAATGAAGTATGAACAATGGGCATATTAATCCCCTTTCAATTTACCTATCATAGAGGCACACCATGATAATACCAGCCTGTCTGCTATTTCTGTCATTCATTGGTGCAAAGAACAGTGATAGTGTTCTGGTCTCTTTTCTTTTCGACTTCTATTGGATTTACACACGGAAAAAAGAGTTATTGTACAAAGGGGGAAAGGCTTTGTTTTCCCTCTGAAGCCTCCTGTCAAACAAACACCAACACCAACCCCCCTTCCCAACCCAAAATTGAACCTCCAAACCCTAATCTTTGTCATGTATTAAGTTGAAGATGTAGGTACAAGCTTTGAATTATGTCCGACAATATTCTCTAGGTTTTGCATTTGTATCTATAATGTTTTCCCCATCTTGTTAATTTTAGATTTATGAAGTCGGTGATGTAGCACTGTTGGATGCGGAAAAAGATGTGGGTGCAACAAACCGTCGCCTTTTTGCAGCATTATATTGTGGTGCTAACTCTGGATTTGAGGTACTGCAATCTCAAATTACTGTTTTGAGACGCTAACTTCATTGTTTTGCATGATTTTTGCATTTGAACATCTGAACCTCATGATTGGGAGCCTTCTTTATTAGTCATTATTCTCTTCTGATGATTTGATAATTTTCATCTTATGCTGCAGTTGATTCATGGCCTGGTGGACAGACTTATGGAAGTGATTGGAGTTCCTTTTGTTCCTGCTGGTGACAATACAGGCTATTATATAGAAAGATCTGATGTGAGTCTCTTCTTCCCTTCTCCTTTTACACTGCCTCTGCAGTAAGCTGTTTTGTTTACCCTATTCGTATGTAATGAAGGAACCCGAGTTTCTTTCGGGTAGGCAAGCAAGCATCATTTTCAAAGGCAAACAGATTGGAAATTTTGGCATCGTCCACCCTGAGGTATCTTATCCTCTTCCTGAGCCCTTTCAAAGAGAAATAAAAAATTCAATTTTTCATGGCTTTCGGATCATCAATAGAGCCGTGATGTGTCCTGGTGGTGTATGGAGTTTATCATCGACTTTGTTTCATTTGTTTTAGGTGTTGAAGAACTTTGACATCACAGATCCGTGCTCTTATGTGTCGGTAAACATTGAGAATTTCTTGGATATGTGACAAGCGTGAGTCTTATCTTCTCACGTCGTGATTCCACTTTCTAATTTCAGATTGATATCACTATTCACTATACACCAACTGCTTTTGATAGCTCTCTGTTTGATGTAAAATCTTTAATCTGCAGGTACAGTGGATGCTAGTGATTATCATATGATGGCCAAATGAATTGATGCAATTCTGATAGATGGACGGGAATTTCGAGATCGAATCCATTGAATTCGGATTGTCTCCATAATTTTATGTGATATGCTCCACATGATGTGGAGAAAATCTGGGCCCCCACTTCTGTTATCAAATTTGGTTTCTCAATGTATTCTAACTTTTCCATAAATGTTTTAACGCATGATTCCCCTGATGAGAGATTCTAGGTGGAAATAGAATGACGCCTTCGTGAAAATATAGGATTATGAAAACTAAGGCATAAGAGTAGAGATCTATTTGTCTGCCCACCTATTATATGTTGTTGGCATGGTTTTACGTTAACGCCTTGGAGAACACAGGATTTGGTCGTTACCAGGCCCTCGGCTAAGAATGGCAGGCCCAAAGAAATGGTTCTAGCGGCCCGATAGGTTCGGCGAAACTTGCTTAGCCGATAGGCATACTTTTGGGCTTAATGTGCCTGAGTCAGGGCCCATAATCTCGGGTCTTTTAGTGGGCCAAGGCCCATTTAAGTTAAACAAGTGGCCAACCCAAGGTTTTGGGTTTGAGTGGGCCAAACAGGGTTCAAAATAACCGGTCTACGGGCCTTAAGGGGCCTCCACATATGCCATAATCGGCCCATTAAGGCCCAATCTGGTTGGGCCTACTTTTGGGCTGTGGCCATGGGCCTTACGGCCATCAAGATCCACCTGAAGGTCCTAGTTTTGGGATCCAGGGGCCTTAAATGGGCTCAAATGTTGGCCTTAGTATTAGGCCTTGTTGGCCCAGTAAGGTCCACGTTTCAATTTGTTGGAGGTGAGTCCGTGTTTTGGATTTGCCGGTGGCGGTTCAGTTGGCGGTGGGCATTTGGGCAAATAAGTGGTGGCTAAGTTTGTCTCGCTAGCGGTGGTGCTGAGACTGAGGAGAGTTACAGCAGTAGGTAGCGGCCGAGTTGGTGGTGGTGACCTCCGAGCGCATGAACGGCGACGAGTTGCAGCAACTGTAGTGGCTCAGTCAGTTGTGTCATTGCTGATGTACTTTGTTCATTTTTATATCGTAAGTGAGGAGATGAGCCAACGATGATGATGTGGATGCCACGTGCACGCCATGGCGTAGATATTTACGGCGGGTTAGCAACACGGGTGTCCCCGTTGGCTAATGCCAATAATTTTCTTGATGGAAGGATTACAATTAGCGAAATTTGAAAGTTTGGGTGTATATTGAGATAAAAAAAAGTTTAAGGACGGCATTGAACATTTCGAAAAAAAATTCATGACTACCCTATCATTACCCATTGATGAAAAGGTAGGTGCATATTACAACACCTTGTATTTTAGACATGATGGTTTATCCCTACTATGCCCTAAAGATTGCTTTCCCTCGTGCAAACGATTGAACACCGAATGGTAAACAATTCCAAAAGGACAATTTGTCTGTCTTTTATAAGTGGCCGTGCAAACCAACGAAAGAAAAACTCAAGGGCAGTGCCGGAGTCATCTATGCCTTTTCTGTTCTTTGCTCTCTTTTTTCATTGAATTGGTGCAAAAGTACTTGCACCGAGTGATAACTGGGAGCCTCTAACAAATTGTACCGCAATAAACTTAGGATATCTCTGTGTTTCTAGAGAAAAAATAAGAAAAAAAGGTATGGTGGTAATAAGTATAGCAGGAAATTTAGTCCTATACCTATTGTAGGAATGCCAATTTAGTCCTCAAATTTTAAATTTTGCCAATATAGTCCTTAACCTTTGTGCAATATTCCAATGTAATACTTCTGACCAATTGATGACGAAAAATAGCTGATGTGGTGGCGATCCCCAGGATGTCCTATATGACGACAGGGCATGCCTGGATGCCACGTTAATTATTTTCATCTGCAATTGGCCGTAAGGATTATATTGAAATTTTCGCTCAAAGGTTCAGGACTATAATGGCAAAATTGTAAAATTTAGAACTAAATCGGCATTCGTATAATAAGTTTAGAACTGATTTGATATCCCTAAGCATAGTCAAGCAAAGTAAGGTTTCTACCAAACAAATTAAAAGGACTTGAGGGCGATTAAAGTGCATAGGCGTATAACATGCATTAAATCAGCATAATACAGACATTGACTTTTACATTCATGAAATTGTGACTAAAAGTCAACATCTGACTTTCTCATCCTTTGTCTCTGTTTCTTCAGAGGCTGGCGATATAAGTCTCATCAATTGTCTATTGCATGCAACTCATGCTGATACAGGGAGAGGCTTGCACTGCACGGAAGTCCCTGGCCTCATACCAATTCAAATTTCAACAGACTGCAGATCTTAATCATTGAACAACGCGGGCAAGCGATGCTTGAAGTTCTTCCAATGCTCGCCCCTTGGTCTCCGGCACTACCTTCATGGTGAATATGATGGCGAGACCGCACATGCTAGCAAATATGAAAAATGTCCCTGGAAGTAGCACGATCCAGATTAAGCATAGAGACTGCATGTATCAGAGAGAGAGAGAGAGAGAGAGAGAGAGAGAGAGAGAGAGAGAGAGAGAGAGAGAGAGAGAGAGTACCGGGTGCGCTCCATTCGAACATGAAGTTGAAAGTGTAAGTCACAATCCAAGAACAGGACCAATAGGCAAATGTCACCAGGCTCCCGGCCGACCCTTTAATGTTCACAGGGAGTATCTACAGAGAGCATATTCGCTGAGAATGGTCGTGAGATATAGGTTACGGAGTGCAAATTTAGACTGAAGGCATGTACCTCTGACATGATAACCCACGGTAATCCCCCCATGCCAAGTGAGTAAGCCATGGCATACCCCTAAATGAAATACACATCTGTTAGCAAACTTCATCAGAACAGGTCATTGAGCAACAGTTCAGGATGACAAGAGACAAGGTAAAAGGCACTCTAATAGAGACTTACAATTATTGCTAAATACACCAAAATTGGGGTCGCTGCTTTCCAATGATTAAGGTCCTGGTTCAGCAACAGTAAAAAATAGCAGGAAACAATAAGGTCACTTAAAAACATCGAGAACCACGAGTAGACATAGTTATTGTTCATGAAACCTGCATGAGGAATGACAATCCTAGAAGAATGCAACTTAAGGACATTCCAGCTGAAGAAATCTGCAAATAAAAGTTGGTTTCGGGCTCAGTATCTCAAAAAGTGGTCTCCTTTAGGAGATTATAGTAACTTCTTCATTTTCCCAACCATTAGAAGTGGTCGTCTTCCGGCTTTATCGGTCAAGATTACACTAAGAGCAGTCACTGGGATCTGCGAAACATGTGTAGAATCTTTAGAAAATGTGATGAAATATCAAATTCGTCTTTCACTGCAATTCTAGATAGTCTAGTACCTGGACAATGGCCACGCTTCTGGTACCAATGCTACTTGAGAAGCCTGCCAAGATAAAATATTATGATGACCAAGCCTTCATTATTCATAAATTACTGCTGTACTTGTCGTTTGATGTTTACCAGCTGATTCAAATATGGAGCCTGCGTAGTAGGCAAGTGCACCAGTCCCACAAAATTGTTGAAGCATCTTCAGCCCAACTGCTGTCTAAAACTTTGACAAGATTAGGATAATAAGAAAAGGGCCTGAAATTGCAAGCAATTTGAATATTTTGGAGGGCATTCTCACTATAAGTGGATGAGCATATCGTCTTTGGAACAGATCAAGAATTCTAGACTGAGACTGCTGCTCGAAGGTCTCTGTGTAGTCCTATAAGACAGTGAAATCAGAGCACTTCATTAGCAAACTATCAGATAATTCCGAATTATCCTAAAGACATGCGAGATTGAGATGTTACTCTGATATCGCTTGCTTCCTGAGTAATATTGACTCTTTTGCCTCTGAGTCTCTGTAATGTAACTTCAAACTCCTTCTCTCGGTGGACTTTTACCTGTAAGTGACTATCTGCTAGTGATCTTTCTTACAACGAAAAGTGCATAATCTTGGCTTTGTCATCCAGTTCTATGATTCTACACAACTAGCAAATCTGTACAAGGGTGATCTACACCAATTGAATTGTGTGTAAGAGTGTGATTGCCATTGAAATGTTAATAAATGTGCCTCAACTCCACTAACAACTTACTAGCCATCTAGGAGATTCCGGAACAAAGAACAAACCCACAATTTGTATGATACAGGGAATGCCACCTGAAGATGAGATCAACAAGAATGACCTTTCAATGTTTTCCCCAACTTAATCACCACATACCATCATAAAGAAAAGGGGATCTAAGACACTACTTATCACAGCCAAGATGCGCCAGGAGACGATGGTTCCAAGAAAGTAAATCAACGAAAAGCCACAGCATATCATGAACTGCACAGCAGCCAACTCATTGTTGGTGAGCAAATTATTTGTCTCCACTCAATTTCAATTTCTACGTTGTCCAAACTTTTTGACCTGATTGAATGCCGTGAATGCTCCCCGGAAACTTCTAGGTGTTATCTCTGCAATGTACACGGGTACCTGTTTGGAAACAAAGATGATGATCAACAGCACGTTGGCGGCGTCAACTTCTAGAAATTTGTTAGGCCAATAAGTCTGAATCTTCCTGCATATACCACATAACATATAATCCCAATGCCAAGCCCATTTAACAGTCTTCCAATATCCAGCCACCAAGCATTCTGCAGATTAAATGGAGTATACCATTAAGTCTTATGCTCTATCTCACAGCTTAAATATGAGTTGATGATTCACAGAAATAGGATGTCGTAAACATTTTCCTTGCATCTTAGCTGGAAGAAAAACAATTGAATTTTTTTCCTGATGGTGTTCCCTTAACCAGCTAGATAGATAATTTGAAGTGCAAATTTCACAAATGCAGTGAAAAATCACAAAAACATCCTACAGGATCATTATATGAATGAACTCATCCAAATGAAAAGTGTGAAAGGTGGAAAATGCAATTTAAAGTATTGAGCCTGCTTATCGAGTCATTGATGATGAAGAAAATTTCTGAAGAGGTGAGAGAAGGGCAGGAACCTTGGCTAATGCTATAGTAAGCCATCCCGCAGCGCCAAATATTTGAGAAAGCCACATTGCCTGCATCCAAAGATATATCTTCTGAGAATCTCCCTAAGATCTGTCAGGTTCTTCATTGAGATTTCGAGAATGACAGGGAAAGGTAGAGGATCACTTACTCCTCTACGACCAATCCAATCTGTTACCCTCCCATTTACTAAAGCTGCTATTAGGCCTCCAACTGTTACTATTGAACCGAAAAGCGAATACTGTAACACGAAAAAATTGGGGAGAATGTCAATACGAGTTGTGATCCACTTTCCATTTTTCTGTTTGGCGTCAGTGATACGTCTCGCGCATTTTATTTCTCTCCAATAAATCTTATTTTACAATATATAGCTGGAACACAATCAGTAATGCGGCTCATAGATGAACATTTCTAGAAATATAGCATGAACACTTGATAGGGCTTGCCGCTGCCGTGGAGAGGCCCAAATCCTCCATTATGCCTGACTCAGCTGGTGAAGAATAACCGGTCTGCATTGTAAAAACATGCCACCAGTTAATGGTACCTTCTATTTGACGGCTACTAATCTTTTCAAGAAATGCAGCGAGCAGCACAATTGCAGAGAATATCCCGCAGTGGATGCAAAATAAAGAGGCAGGCCAAAAGTCAGTTTTCATATGGCATCTTTCTCACAAATGTGATTGAAGTAATTACGGAAGATAATTTGACATCTTTTTTGCATGCATGAGTTTCAGCCCGTGCGCTTGAGCGATCCGGAATCAGCTACTTCCTTTATCATGGTTCGAGTTGATTTCATTATATGAAAACATGGTTACAAGTAGCAGACTGTCCGACACACCTCGCCCCCTTTGTACCGGGTTGTGAGTGGAAAATGTTCCAAAAGTAGTTGTCGGAACAAATTATTACATTCTTAAATGATTAAGGTCAACCTAATGTCTTGGTATAGGCCAAGAGGTCAAGAACATGACATACCGGTGCTTCTGGAAAATAACTAACTTTTAGACACCAAAAACAGAAGACACGTTCAGCCAGAGTTGCAGAGACAGACCTTGGTTGCTTTATCCTTACACGAAGGCCAACTGAAAACCCAGATATCTTCTTGGAAACACAATGTTGACCAATCATAAAAGAAAACAGAGATACTTTGTCCGAGTAAAAAAAAATTGATACAGTACTCACAGTACACCCAAAGACGAAAGAACCGCTAACGGCGACGAGAGTGCTAAACACGAGAAGTGGCGTGACTGCACAATCACTTGGAGACATGATGGAGCTGCCATGGCTGCCATTGGCAGAGACTTCTTTGAGAAGCGGAGCTCTTGTGGGCAATCCATCTTCTCCGAAGCTTTCTCTCTCCATATCTTTTGTTCAAAGCTCTTCGCGGTAAGTTTTCAAGAAACGTAAAAGTGGCAAGAATGAGTGGGGAGTGAGTGTGAGAAGTGAGTGAGATGGTGTGGTGAGTGAGAGAGGCAGAGAAAGAGAGCTCAAAGTAATGGACTGTCTGCTGCATGAGAAGGTTTCTTTGCTGGAACCCTCGTCATTATTTTCTGTTCTTTTTCCGAGTTTTTTAGTTCTTCGATTGATCATGTGATTAGCGGCTACAGCGAATATTCGTTCATTTCTGTAAACTACAACAGCTCGCTAACGCTACCTATCCAACGCGCTTTGGAGAACAATTAAAAACGAGAGATGACATGGATGATACTTTTCGAAAGTTGAGAGACCAAAAAATTAAAATAAACAAGCATCATGGGATAGTTTTATACTTTCCTTCACATGCAAACCAGACTGACAGCATGTGGAAGACAAATAGAAAACCTTATATAAGAAAATCTGAACCTCGTGTGTTAAAATAGGTGATATGGAAGATGAGTTTAAGGAATCAAATTCATGAAATTGTATCAGTCATCATCTGACTTTCTCACCCTCTCTGGCTGCCCTTGTTTCTTCAGAAACGATTCGGTGCCTAGCACGGGCAAAGAAGCTGAGTGTCATGAGTCTTATCAATGTCTGTTGGGTGCAAGTCATGCTAATCACCAATTATAGATAAAAAATAGAGTTGGATTTTTAAGGGTTATTAGGGAGAGGATTGCCCGGAAGTTGCCGGCCTCACGCGAACACGATGTGTGGTCACATGTGGCCAGGGACCTTCGTCCGAGCAAGTCGCCGGAGGTCATGAACTCCATGGCTGCTCGACATCGAGTTTCACAAAGAGAGAGAGAGAGAGAGAGGCAACTGTGGCTAGAAGGAGGTGGGGCTTGGCTGTGTGAGCAGCTGGTCGCGAGGGGTGGTCCTTGCAGATGCTAGTTACGACTTCAACCGGTGCAACTGCAGCGAGCGACTGCGGTGGTGGCAAAATACCGGTGGTAGATCTATTTGTGGGGAAAGGGGTATTATTGGCCAAAACTCTTTTGCGACGCCCATTTTTGTGCCAAATCTTTTCAATCGATCATTTTACGTGTGACAACTACTTAACAGTCAATTTAAGTGACCTCAATCACTTAATTGGCAGTAAATTCTGAAGTGATATTCTTTTACAAATAAAACTCTCTAGAATCACTTAAATGGACACTGTTAAAAAGTTTTGGCACTAAATTTTATGAAAGTGAAATTTTGATGCAGAATATCGTGAGCTAGAAGCGAAAATCAATAAGTAAATTTGCCACAATTTTCACTTATTTTGTTAGGCTCGAAAGCAAAATCATATGGAGCAAACTCTCGCTCTCTCCCAGATAATTTTATTTAAATCCACAAAGATATATTTGCTTTACCTCCAAAAAAGGAAGGAAGTCATGAGCAAAATTTTCTTCACCTTCCATGGATTTCGCATTTGCGGAGCATGAAGCCTTGTGAAATTGGATTGCAATGCTAGGTGATATTCTGGAACCAATTTAACCCAATTTTCTCAATTTGCGAAAATTTGTTGCATCCAACGAGGTTGTTTCGTACATAAATTGTGCGCCACACTATTTTGAAATGTTTGATCCCAAAACTTGATAAACTATTAACTCGGTGCCCAAACTTTTTGAAGAATCACTTCAGTATGAAATTTTTTAAAACCATTTGTTTAAATGACTCTAGCGAGCTTTTATTAAATAATGATATATTAGATTTTTCGGCGAGTCAAGCCACTGGAGTCACTATAGTGATAGCATTTTAATTGGGTGAAGAACACTAGAAGTGCCAAAACTTGTGTACGGCGCTCACTTTAGTACCAAAAGTTTGTTTCGGATCACTTAAGTGCCACTTTTTTGAAAAAAACGATCACTTAAGTGCCAACTCCGATTTGGGTTGCCGGAAATCTAACATGGCCATATTTTATTAATTTCTCAGTCCTACGTGGCACGTCGGGGCTGACGAGGACAATATTTAATAATATTTTAATATTTTTAAATATTTTTATGATTTTTTTTTCTATTTTTTCCTTTTTTCTTTTTTTCTTTTCTTTCTTCTTCTTCTTCGTTTGGCCGGTGACCGGACACCGGCCACCGGCCATGGCTGGCCGCCTGGCCTCGCCCGGACAAGGCAGCCGTCGCCCACCACGGGCAACGCGAGGTCGGCCCTCTCCTCGCCGGGGCTCGCCCTTGATCCGGCGAGGTGAGGCCGGCCCTCGGCGAGGTGAGGCCGGCCCTCGCCCGAGCCACGGTGGCCTCGGCGGGCGTCGCTCGGGAAGGCGACCCTCGGCGAGGCCGCCGTGGCTCGGGCGAGGGCCGGCCCCCGATCTAGCGAGGGCCGGCCTCATCGCCTCGCCTCGCCTCGCACAGGCAAGGGCGAACCCCGGCGAGGCGAGGGCGGCCCTGCCCGATCCGGCGGGGCCGGCCCTCGCCCGGGCCACGGCGGCCTCGCCGGGTCGCCTTCCCCCGGCGACTCCGGCGAGGCCACCGTGGCCTGGGTGAGGGCCGACCTCGCCTCGCCGGGGCTCGCCCTTGCCCACGCAAGGCGAGGCCGGCCCTCGCCCGGATCCGGCGGGGCCGACCCTCGCCCAGGCCACGGTGGCCTCACGCGGGGGTCACCTTCCCCGGCGACGCCGCGAGTTTGTCGTGGCACGGGCGAGGCGGCCTTGCCTCGCCGGATCACGGCGAGGGCCGGCCTCGCCTCGCCTGGGCAAGGGCGAGCCCCGGCGAGGCGAGGGCCGGCCTCACCTCGCCAGTGGCGGGCGACAGCAGCCTCGTTCGGGCGAGGCCAGACGGCCGGCCATGGCCAATGTCCGGTCACCGGCCAAATGAAGAAGAAGAAGAAAAAAAAGAAAAGAAGGAAAAAATAGAAAAAAATAATTAAAAATTCGAAATTTACACGTGGAAATGTCACGTAGGATTGAGAAATTCAAAATATACACGTGGAAATGCCACGTAGATTAAAATTTTAATTAAAAAAGCCACGTATTAATTTGGCCGGAATTTCTCGCCGTTAACACTTAAGTGATCGTTTTTCTCCGATTTTGGCACTTAAGTGATCCGAAACAAACTTTTGGCACTAAAGTGAGCGCCGTACACGAGTTTTGGCACTTCTAGTGTTCTTCTCCCCATTTTAATTATTGTTACATTTACATAATTACTTAAAAAAATTTGCACCAAAGTGAGTGTCATACAGTTTTGGCACTGATAGCTATGTTTTTATCCTGCTCCATTTAAGATGTAAATTCATTCCCCGCATATGGAGGATCTCAGTCCGTTGTTGATGTATTCACAAAGGCGCTCGATCAAAACTCGATTTTATCCCGAGCTAGTTTGCGAGTTGGGTGTCTATCGTATTCGCGCTAGAACTTGAAAGGGAGTGTTAGCTCCTTCATCAAGACCAAAGTTGGAGTCCTTGATATCCACCTTCCAATTTTATCATTCCCTGGCAGCAAATCTGATAAGATGATGTAAGTTTGTTTTAGAGTTCGCCATGAAGGTGTCGCTGCATTGTGCAAATTGACCAACATAAGCAGAGAGCAACGCGCTGCTCGACTGACGAACAAACATAAGCGAAGAGCAGCGCTCTGCTAGAGTTGAGCTCAACTAACAAGCTCATCAGGATCAGCTCAGTTCCTTCCGATTACAAGTTGAGTTCGAACAGGTCTGAGTATTTGTGAAGATAGGCAGAGTTCGAGATTGAAAATACTAGACTTAAATAGTTCACCAGCCTGATGGAGCTGTAAAAGTAATGTATCACAATCGACAGAATGTATCCATAACGTGTAACTATGAAATACACATGCAATATCAATTTCAGTTGTACTCTTCTAAGTAAGATTCAATCCTAAACCATCTGAAGATTTATGTGACTGACCAAATGTGTATGCATTCCTCCTCCTATATCACGTTATACGAGAGCATCCCAAAAGCAATCGTCGGAAATAGTCTGTAAATAAGCAAAGCTTCTTTCCTTTTCCTTTCTCCTCTGATGGAAGACACCGTTTGCGTAATATGTCACGTTAATAAACAAAATTTCTTTATTTGTTTCCGTTTTTATTTGTGAAACAGAGCCCGCAAGCCCTCGCCTCACAACCTTGCTCCACACAGCACCTTGTTGGAGCTCGGCCAGGCTCTCTCTCTCTCTCTCTCAACCATTTTAGGACCCAAGTGCCTATCAACATGACAAGTCTTCATTTGATGGAGCATGTAGAATCTAATGAATTATGATAAGACCATGAAGAAAGACATGAAGCAACAAAAATATCTCTCATGTACATTGATCTCAATCTCGTGACCCCGGCTTACCTGAGAGGAACCAATCATGAGCTTCACACTGATTACTTGCTTTTAGACATGGTCTGCATGAAACAAGATAAGAAATGAGAGAGCAACTAGAGACTCTCAAAGTCATCACTAGCTCGAGAGTCGTCTTCATGCCGTGAGTGGGTTCATGGCTGCCTGTATTTCTTCCAACGTTCGACCTTTGGTTTCGGGCACCAGCTTTGCCACAAACAGAATAGTCAAGCCGGCTATGGCTGAAAATATGAAAAATGTTCCTGGAAGAGGAGAGTATAAGAGTCCACAAAATTGGCTATAACTTTTTCGCATATTGAGAGGCAAATTGAGCAATCGAGCAAACCTGCTGTACTGAGTTCCATCAAGAAATTAAAGACGTATGTAACGATCCAGGAAACGAACCAGTTGACCAAAGACACTAAGCTTCCAGCTGAACCTTTCATATTTATGGGGAATATCTGGAGCAGCAGACACCAATCAAAATGAGCCTCATAAGAATTCACTTGATTCTGTAATTAAAACTGCGGTTGCTGAGATTTATTCACCTCAGACATTATGAGCCACGGTATTCCAGCAAGGCCCAATCCAAATGACGCATTATACACCTGATTGTTAAAATGAAGACATCAGCACATAACTTAATTGATTGAATGAGTACAGATGTGTATGCAGAAGTTGAAAAGTATCGGTGGATGCACCAGTATGCCCACGAAAACCAAAGTGGGAGCAGCTTGTGTCCACCGGTGAAAATCCTGTCAATGGCAAAGTTTACGCGAGTCCAGGTGAATTCGATTGACAACTCTTACAGAGGTTTTTTCAGGGTCACTTGATTAGAGATCGTACCTCCAACAGAAATGACAGTCCCACAAGAAAGCAACCTAAGCATGTTCCGCTTGTAGAAATCTGTCAAAAATCACTTGACCTCGAGTCATTAATTTCACTTCTATCATATATAGCAGGCTTAACATCAGCTTCTTGGGATCACTGTACCAGAAGCAATGGTCGCCTTCCCGACTTATCCATCAAGAGCACACCAACAATTGTCATAGGAACCTGCAGGAGAGAATAAAAAATAATGACTCTCTTTTCCAGCCAAGTTATTCTATTTTATTTTCGAACGAGCCAAAGACCTGAACAACAGCCATCGTTATAGTTCCTATATTGGCAGGAAAACCTACAATCACAAGAAAATTTTGTAAGTTGTCGGCTTCCACAGTATCTTGACAATAGATGATCCTTAAAAAGTAGTCATTTACCTGCAGATTCAAATATAGAGCTCGCATAAAAGGCAATGGCATTAGAACCGCCAAATTGTTGCAGAGCCATCAGCCCGACTCCAACCTGCAGTGTCTCAGTTAGGCTGAAATAAAAGTTAATTGACAGGCGAGAAATAACACCACTAGGAGATGCAATGACAACTCACAAGGAGAGAGCGAGCATATATTTTCTGAAATAAGTCTAAAATTCTACCCTCGGAGATTTGTTGAAGAGTCAGTGTGTACTCCTGCAGACCAGATAGTTAGCTTGCTTTGGATATGATGTAAATTTATCACAAACTATTTTATAATAAGAATGATTAAGCAAAATTACTTTGATCTCAGTTGCTTCCTCTGAAATATCTGAATTTTTCCCTCTCAGGTATCGAAGAGCTGCTTCATACTCTCTCTCCCTACCAACTTTTGCCTGCATTTAGATCAGGAAACTTTAAAAAGATTTCCCATAGGACGACACAATCTTGAAAGAATTCAGCGAACTCTGCTCATTTCATTACTTGTTCCACTTCTTTCCGTTTCCAAAGTTCCAGAATACTAAAAAAGTAACCAAACTATGCTTAGGTTCAATTTTTTCTGTGCTTATATTTGTTCTTCCAATGAGGTGTGTAAACTTTGACTCACCAGCCATCTTGGTGACTCTGGGATGAAAAATAGACCTAAAAGTTGAAGCATGCAGGGACCAGCACCTGCAGATGATATCACGTAAAAAACGATTTGTTGTCGGAATATTATCATATGGATATGAAACTGTAATGAAATTACCTATCAGAGCTAAAATACGCCAGTTGACAACAGTTCCGATGAAATATATAAGTGCTGAGCCAAAAGAGAGCATGAACTGTCGAATGGAATCAATCACACATCAAGTATCGTCAAAATAGCCAAACGCGTATTCTATCTATCACAGTTACCTGATGAGCTGTTCCGAACCCCCCGCGAAGATTTTTAGGCGTTATTTCTGAGATATACACTGGAACCTATTTCATGATGGAAAATACTATAATATAACTAAACTGAATCAGCACCAGCAACCAAGTCCCAACTTCACGTTGAAATAGCACATTTACCACATAGGAAATAAGCCCAACTCCACATCCTACCAACAGCCTTCCAATGTCGAGCGCCCAAGCACCCTGCTCGCATCAACTAAAAAATTAGTTACGTGGCATTAACACCAAAGAAGAAGTATACCTCTGAGAAAATTATTGCAATATTTGCAGATACCTCTGAGAAAATTATTGCAATCCATCCAGAGAGACAGAGTATGTCAGCAATCCCCATTGCCTGTCAATATTTGCAGATCACATGCACACGGTAACAATCAAATGTTTTGCCTCTTTCAGCCCCTTACATAGCAATGCTTGGGACACAAGTTGAACTTAAAGAATAATGATAACCAATAATGAGGCCACAACCCTAGCTGAGACCATGTGTGAATAACTAAATAAAGAGGAGTTCATTAATTATCTAGGCTCGAAAATGCATGAGAAAAAGAAAGACTTACACCTCTGCGACCAACTAGATCTGCTATCTTTCCGCTCATTACGGCACCTAATATTGCTCCAACCGTCATAATTGAGCCAAAGACAGAGTACTGCATGTACAAAAAGGCTCCATACATAAGCACGAGGTAAAGTCAAAAAACAAGAAAATAAAAATGCCCGAGAGTTCTAGACTACAACTGATTGAAGCACATACAATCAACAGCTGCTTTACTGAGGCAGAGTCCTAGAATTACATGTTCAAAAGGCCATACAGCAATTTTAAAATCATGAAAATATTTATTTCTGAACAATACGCTCCAAATTGAAGAGCCAGTAAGATGCACAAGGAAATGTCATTTAAGAGTCGTAAACCTCGGTCTCTGTATCACTTGGTTAGCAGTGTTTTCAAATCACCCTTTGAAATGATAACCATGTGCTTGAATTGCGGGGTCCAACAGACAAAAGGAGTTGTTCTTCCTTCAACCAAGAAAACACCAAATAGCACAGACTCAATGAGTCATTGTAAATAGGAGCATTTCACCGGATGTATTTACTGATATTAAGTCTATAAGATGATTTATTAAAAGTGTAATTACCCTCTTACCAACTGGGGTTTTGACCCGGAAAAAAATGTCATGGAGCTGCAAAATTTAAGCAAAGAGATAAAAATCATACAGATAAAAAACCTATGTGTCTATCCTACAAATCCTTTCCCAGCGGTGTCCACACCCATTGATTTGAGACTCAACATATCACCACAATATCCACCATGTTTGCATACCTCAGCCAGAGAGAGACCTAAGTCATCCATGATTCCAGATTCAGCAGGCGATGAATATCCTATCTGCAATTATGACAAATCAGAAACTACTGTCATTCAACTGATTTAACATATTTATAAACATCTGGTCGTGCAACAAGTATGGGTCAGAACCAGCCAATTGACATATGAACATGGACATTTCATATGCCTTCATTAAAAGTAAAGCATTCAAACACATGCCCTTACAGTTGAATGCTACAAACAACATTACATTGGTAAAAGCATTCAAAGCAATGTCTACACAACTCCTTATTCATTTCTGAAATTAAATGAAAGCTTTTTCGGAATTGGGTTTGAAAAGGATCGATTATCCCCAAATCACAAACTCATAGGTGCTCCAACCGTTTTAGCGAAACATCTGTCTTGCATTCTGCTAACAAGGACAAATCAACAAATAACATGCGATCACTTGAAATGCATCCCAAAATAACAGGATTCTCCACATGGCCAGGGTCAATTTGAATCATGCTTTGCTAAATGTAACAGCAAGATACTTTCTGTGGCATTGGAAATGAGTGAAACAGAATTATTTTCGCATATCATCATTGCCCTGTTTATTTCCAAGGCGTCGAGTACACAGTATACATTTGCGTTCCAATGATGGGCATGCGATCTAAAGCTCAATCACCACACGAGCAGTCATAATTTCAAAGGTCAGTGCATTCGGGAAATTCAGTGATCTAAACACAAACCACCCCAGCAGGGTGAAACAAAGAAATTATTAATAGATTGGTCTCGAAGTGTTAAAGAGGGTCACTCACAGCTGACCCAAACTCCAAGGAACCGCACACGGCTACCAGAGTGCTAAGCAACAACACCCCCGTGGCGGAGCCGCCGCCGCCGCCGCTCGAAAATGTCACCATCAAGAGCCCTTGTTCTGCACCTTCTTGTCTGTCCATGTCTTCGTTTTTCATAAAAGACAAAATGGTGTAAGAGCCCATGAGGATTATATAGCTTTGTAAGCGAACTAACTTGCTTACCCACTAGTGCAACTGCAAGTCAACGTGTTCTATAGGTGGCGTTTACTCTTCAGAATGCATCAAACCTCCTACGCTCATCGTAGCAGGATTGAAGAGTCGATGAACTCGTCGGTCTGTCAATGCTTACGGTTGTGAATCATGGGTTTGTCCGTGACGTCCTCTGTTCTTCATCTAATGATGCGAATGCAATGCATTAGAGTTGGGTTTGCGTCGTCGCAAATTCAATTTCATTTTTTGTCGCAACTTTCACCCAAATAATAGATGAACTTTGAGTTGCGACTATTCATGTGGGACTCACCATCATATTGTGGAACTCCCTTCTACTCAACGTGGTTCCACAAATTGCGACTATTCATGTGGGTACTTAACTAATTTGAGCTCGATGCGTAAGAGCCATCAAATCTATATGAATCACGTGGGATTTATTTTCGTAGACGAATGATCTTGATTTTCAAAGCACGGCGATATTATTCTGAGCAAATGTCGAGTTAATGCTGATGCTTAGTGATCGAGGGTTCACTAGACGCGACATGATTAGGCTCGCGATTTGAGCATCAACTGGAGGTGAACAAAGATTTCGCAGAACAAGTAGGTTGTTCATGTCCTCTGACATCCAGGCGAAAACCGAAAAACAAGAGCTGTTAAGGTAAGCCAAAAGAGCTGTTTTCGAATGTACTCCGGCGAAATGGACTCTGATTATTGGATCTTAATACCACATGACAGTTCCATCGTCGCATCGTCTCATCGACTGCTATTACAATGACCACGGAGCAAGATCTCGCCGAATGTACTTTCTCCTCTTGGCCAAGCCATGCCCAAAAACTGGGAACAGTTAAATCAGCGATGCATCTGCGAGAGAAATTCTGGTGTTGCTTTCCTGTTTAAAATGGATTCAGGGTGGCCTGTATTTCTTCCAACGTACGCCCTTTAGTTTCCGGCACCAACTTTGCTACAAACAGAACGGTGAATCCGCATATGCTCGAGAATATGAAGAACGTTCCTGAAAGCAAAAGTTTGACAGGTTGGTAAACATCTGTTGCAGATATAATGTGCGCGAGCATGGGTGACTACTCGTCTAAAACTGATAGTTGCAGGTGTCCTGAACGGGAGTACTTTCCGTGCTTGTATGATATGCATAAAAAAAATGTACAAAAGTTGCAGATTGACTGATTTTCTTAGTTACTTCTCTTCTTGAGAGATAATTACATTATACTTCAAGAGATGGGACGTCTACTTCGCGAATGGTGCTAAGCATCGAGTGTCTTGATGCAGCACATCATTTTACAGCAGGATGAAGAGGTGAAGGCAAGACTATTCTTTGCAAGCTAGAAATTTAGGAAATCCTAAATACCATGGACAATCTCAACTAAGGTCATTGGACAAGGCAGTGACTCTCCATGAAAGTAAGCAATGTGAGAGAGAGAGAGAGAGAGGAAAAGTTTACCTGCTGAACTCCAATCCATCATGAAGTTGAAGGCAAATGAGATAATCCAAGAACCTAACCAGCTCACCACCGTCACGAGGCTACCAGCCGAGCCTTTCATGTTTATAGGAAATATCTTACAGCAAAAAAGACAGTTCTCGGTCAAGATATGACTTGCTGCTGTTCATTTTCATTTTCCTGGTAGTAATTACTCAATGCAGAAGTTCGGAAACGAAGCTACCTCTGACATTATAACCCACGGAATTCCTCCCATGCCTAGAGAGAACGATCCTGTATAAACCTATAGGGAAGTCGAAGCCGTATTTACTCTGTGGTTTCACAACCGAAATTTGTGCTGGATGTAACTTAAAACATACAATTTGCAACAAGATTCAGGTAAATCTAAAGTATCCAATTTCACAAACAATATTCAAATGTTAGCACCCTGGGATAAACATCAAGCATAGTTAATCTGCAGTACCAGCACACCGACAAGAGCCAGGATCGGAGTGAACGCCTTCCATATTTGAAGGTCCTAACAAAAAGAGAGAATAAATTCATGAGCCAAAATGCACATGGATTGATAAAAAGCTAAATCCCATAGAATATGTTGCTCATCACTGAAAAGAATACCTGGCAGTAGAATGAGAATCCGGTCATCAAGCAACCGAGGCATGTTCCTGCTGCAGAAACCTGTCAAAGTTGGTCAACCTCAGCATCAACACTTCGACTTGACGAAATGATAGAGTAAGGGCGCTTCAGTGCTTACCAACAAAAGTGGCCTTCGGCCAGATTTATCCATCAAGAGCACACCCAATGCCGTCATTGGAATCTGCACACGTGAAATTAATCTCCACCATCTAAAAGGAAAAGAAATTACAAACGCCAAGTCAACGGCTGAAACAGGACTAAGAGAAGCAAGCGAGAGGAACCTGAACGACAACCATCGCTATAGTCCCGACACTACCAGAGAAGCCTATCAAAAGTCAAAATTCGGAGAATAAACAAATCTGTTTCTTGCTTTTTGCACTTCAAATCAAAGAGGGCTTTACAAAAGAAATCCAGATGTACCAGCTGATATGAATATAAAGCTAGCATAAAAAGCAATTCCATTCACCCCTCCAAATTGCTGCAGTACCATCAACCCAACTCCAACCTACACCTCAAAGTTTTCATCAACTTCCACACCTGTCCCTCTAAAATAAAGTGAAGCTGCAAGACTTTTAGCTAATGTAGAATACTGACAATAAGTGAGTAGGCATATTTCCTCTGAAACAAGTCTGATATCCTGGCTTCTGAAAGCTGTCGAAGGGTTTCTGTGTATTCCTATAAAATATTTTAACCCACATCAGGATCTATTACCTGCACAACAAAATGTATGATGATTCCATCCAAGAGAGCTGTTTTACAATAAGTTAAAAGAGCTACCCAAATCTCAGCTGCTTCCTGAGAGATATCAGCATTCTTCCCTCTCAAGCGAAGTAAGGCGGCTTCACACTCTTTACTCCGACCTGTCTTTGCCTGAACGACATCAATTAGTTAAATTTGATTTTTTGGGGTACTTCAAATGTGGTGTTATATTCTTCTCCTTAATTGTTCACAATTGTAAAAAGATCTTTTTTTTCCGTGGGTCATCTAGAAGGAAGGTCATCAAAGAAAACAAGCTTTCAGAACAACTCACCAGCCATCGAGGAGATTCCGGAATGAAAGCCAAACCGATGACCTGTCCAAGACATGGAATAATGCCTGAAACGAAATACATAGAAAATTGTAACACTATTCCGATGAGTTTAATACAGCATCACTGGGTTGCAAACTCACCTATGAGAGCCAATGCTCGCCAACCAACGAATGCTCCGATAAGGTAAGTCATGGACACACCACAACAGATCATCAACTGTTGAAATTTGAATCTTCACGGTTGAGTGAGGTACACGGGCCATAAGAGTGCAAATGTATATTTACTATCTATAAGTGATTTTGCAGTACCTGATGTACTGTTGTAAATCCTCCGCGAAGGTCTTTTGGTGTAATTTCTGCTATATATATGGGGACCTGTTTCATCAAATGATAGAGATTAACTATTACAACAGGAGAAGAAGTTATGATGAATTCTAACTTTCAACAACAATTACCACGTATGAGAGGAGCCCCATTCCACATCCTACCAGCCACCTCCCAACGTCAAGCCACAAAGAAATCTTCCAAGAATAATCGAGCAAATTAGTATTAAATAGTAAGAAAAACGAAAAATGTAGTGGCTTTCTGAAGAAGAATCTTGGTATGGGATATGCATCTGCTACTTGGTTATTAGCGTCAAAGCATTAGTCCAATAAATAGGTTCCCTAATTATCACAAAGCAAAATCAAAAATGAAAAATGACGCTCTCGCAAACTTCATTTTCTTGGTGCAAGGCATTTGAAAATATGACGAGCAAAGCTCATCCACAAAATTTCAACAAAATACAAATGGTTCAAATATGCAACATGCAAAATTCGCACACAAACTGATGTGCCTTTTGCATAAAAGCTTATTAGAAGAGATAAATCTCAAAGATAGAGAGCTCAAAGAGTCGGAGAATCTGAGTATACTTGAAACAAGAACAAGATGAATGCACCTTTGATAGTGCAATAGCGATCCAACCTGTCACGCATAATATCTCTGAAAGTCCCATTGTCTGCTTCGCCAAAACTAAATAAGTTCAGGGACACTAATCTTTTGTTGAACATTGTGAAGACAATATTGTACAACAAAACCTTACAGGAAGGAGAGCTACTTACCCCTCTTCGACCTATGTAATCTGCGATTTTTCCACTGATTGCTGCTCCCATCATAGCTCCAATTGTCAATATTGATCCAAAAAGTGAGTACTGCAGGGTGACCGCCAGAGAGAAATATATGTTCAGATCACAATGGAGATTGCGGAAGGGGAGTGTTGAAGCGAAACATATTTTCTCTTATCACAACTTTCTTGATTTAGTTGAAAAGCATCTTTCCACATAAATCAAATTCAATTCCTCTGAACTTCCAAGTCATCTACCTAATGCCGAAATTTATATGCTAGTGGCCACCATGGCAAACATCACCAAGTTGTAAAATGTAAGGCACGAACTTTAACATAATGCAAGGTAAGAACATTCAACTAATGAATGTGCATCTATTTGCACATTCACACATGATAAAGTAGTAAAATGAATGGCAGTCACCCTTCTTAGAAGAGGAACAAAGACGAGATGAACAGTGCGCAGCAAAGTTCTTACTACCTGTGCAGAAGTGAGGCCCAAATCATCCATGATTCCAGACTGAGCAGGAGACGAGTATCCCACCTTCAATCAGAATCAAAAGCATCAGTTCTTGTGAACCAAGTGATCCAATTGCGAATCATACTCAACACTGTCACCAAATTATCCCGAATCCTAGTGAATAAAAATTTTATGTAAGAGTAATTCGAATTGTCAAATCTCTGAATAGTCCTCATGTCAGTTTGCCAGTAACATAGATAGATCACTTTCGTGTATTGTAGAAGACTAACCTTTTCTCCCCTGAATCAACATGTAAAGCTTAAGCAAAATGCAACAGGACTTTAACTTACATCACAAAAATTCTCTGTGAAGCTATATCAATCAAAATCATCGTGTGGTAAACAACTTTTCTTATATAAACCGCCAAAAACCGTTTTGAAACACACATGGTACAACCGAATCTGAAAGAAGAGCTTGCAAAGATAAACCCAAGAAGACAGTCATGTGATAAACAAGTCAGACCCAAGTAATAAAAAGATTGTTCATGCAGATACTCACGGCAGAACCAAACACATATGAACCGGAGACAGCGACCAAAGTGGTGAGAACAAGAACAGGCGTGGCTGAAGAAGATCCACCATCCCCTGCATCAGGACCGGTGGTTCTCTTCACAAGCAGAGGAGCTCTTGATGGCTCTGCTGCTTCTGACTCTGAATTCTCTCTGTTCATTCTGTTCTTGTTTTCGTGAAAGACCAAGAACTGGAGTGATGAGACTGAAGGCGAGGGTGACCACCAAAATCTCTCGGAGATGAGAGAGAGAGAGTGTAGCAGAGTAATGAAGACACAGACAAAAGAGTGAGGAATTTTGTGAAGGCAGGCCAAGTGCCTCGAAGGCAACGGTGAGGTGCGAAGCTTGTCGTACTGGCATTCCGTCGTTTTCTCTGTCTGTTCTAATGTCAGTGCCGACAAGTTCTTTCATAGGATAGGACATGGTCCATCGACACCACATGATCATAAACAATTGAATCTATGAATCGTGGGAGTCCCACTATAAACATCTTTGTTTGCGTACATTAAACCAGAGAAGTTCCAAATAAGGACCCGAGATGAAAAGATTTTCTCAAATAGACAAATTCGTCTCAAATAAAGGCTTAAGCACGTAAGCCTTGATTTTTCCGACTGACATGCTCAAGCCCTTATTGAGATTGACTTTTATTGTTTTCCATAATTTCTTGAAATTTAAGTAATTTGTTTCATTTACAAATTTTGGAAGGAAAACCGAAAAGTATGTCTTTGATTTGGTATGGATTACAATTTTGTGATAAATTACGCGAAAGATATGGTACTATTGCCTCTATTCAATTTTCATTCTTTTTAACGTTATTTGGTGAGGAACGTGGTCTCTCAAGTAATCTTCAATCACATGTCAAAATTGAATTTGTACTTCCGTCAAAATGGAGATAGAAAATGCTAACTAAACATCGGTACTCCGGTATTTATGGTGACTATAATTTTGCGATAAGATTTCTATTTAATAATTGTTTTTATACAATTAAGTTGAATTGTTTATGGCTTCCTCCTTTATTTGTTGAAGGGTGGCCGTATCATTCCCTCGAATCTAGTATGAACTGGAGTGTGGCAGAGAGTTTAAAATCTTTGGTTGGTGGTAAAAGAACAATCTTTGGCTGGTGGTAAAAGAACACGTAAGGACAGTTACTCTGCAAAGCTCTATTGAAAGACTGGCTAGAAGTATCTGCCAAATTGGAATAGATCAATAAGGTGTTGACTTAGACGATAAGGAATTTTGCTTCTCTCGTTATGGTCTTCGGTTCAAACCTTATTGGGAGCACATTTTATGAGTAAAATCCTGAATGCATCAGGCCAACATGGGAGAGTACGCGACTCGGACCACCTAGGAAGGTGGACTTAAACAGATTTTATGAGTCAAAGCTGGCTGGCACCATCTGACCGTTAAATAAAAGTAAAAACTTGACTAGTGCTCTGTAAAACCATCACTCAGCAAAAGGACAACGAATTCACGATGCTTTTGCTCTTCCATTTCACGTTGCAGTTCATTCTTTGCAACAATCAGGAACAAAATGTTGATCCCACATAGGTCTTTTGACATCCCAATAGGAGTAATTATGTCGCTTGACTGATAGATGATTCATTAATTAACTCACTGCAGAAAAATGAGCAAGCGATGCTTGCAGTTCTTCCAGGGCTCGCCCTTTGGTCTCCGGCACCAACTTCACAGTAAACAGGATTGCTAAACCGCAAACGCCCGCTAATATGAAAAATGTTCCTGGAAAAAGCACGGTCAAGATGCAAAATGACTATCGTATAATGCTCCTAATATATCCAAGCACAGAGTCACATGCGCTTAAGCTCCCAAAACTGATATCATACTACACAAACGAAGTCGACAGAGACAGCAAGCATACCGGGTGCGCTCCATTGAAACATGAAGTTGAAAGTGTAGCTCACAATCCAGGAACTGGACCAGTGGGCAAAGGTCACCAGGCTTCCTGCTCTCCCTCTTACATTTACTGGAAATATCTACAGAGTGTGGAATCACAGCAATCACTGGCCTATTGCTTTTAGTGTTAGTTATCATAAAATTCAATAAAATATTATGATTCACACCTCGGACATTAGAATCCATGGTAGTCCTTGCATGCCGACTGACAAAGATACAAAATATGCCTGATTGCATTACCGGTCCATCAGTAACTTCAGCAAAACTCATCACACAGTTATAGACTAGGATTCACTGAGCTCTGGTGGAACGATTTACCAATATAGCTAGGAAAACCAAAATTGGAGTGACATTCTTGCATTTGTGCAGATCCTGTAGACAAGGGGTAAGGACATGAACGAACAAAAAGCGGGTCGAATTCTTAAAGAACCCCAAGTGTACTAGTGGTTGATTTAGTGATAGTAGAGCTAACCTGCATGTAAAATGACAATCCTAGGCTCAAACAGCTTAAGCACATTCCAGCTGAAGAAACCTGCAAATCGAGATCAAGCTCAAGCTCAAGGTCAAGCTCAATTTCAACTTTCTGATGATTGATTCCTTTTGGAACCAAAAAAGAACAAGTTTCTTTTCCTAACCATCAAAAGCGGTCGTCGTCCAGCTTTATCAGTCAAGAAAACAGTAACTGCGAGTGCTGGCATCTACAAAACATGTCAAACTATTTGCAAAAGCAACATGTGGAATTCAAATTTCATGACAATATTCATAATTGAGTATCTAGGAAACTTTCCCAAAGACAGAAAAACGCTTACCGTGACAATAGCCACACTCCTGGTGCCAATGCTAGTTGAAAAATCTGTCATGGACAAAATGTTGTTGTGATTATTTCTTCACACTTCCTGAAGTAGTAGCAAAGCCTTTAATTTTACCGGCTGATTCAAAAATGGTGCTTGCATAGTATGAGAAAGCGCTAGCTCCACCAAACTGCTGAAGCAGCATCAGTCCAAGTCCTATCTAAGCTTTGAAATGATCGGAAAGTGTAAGTCCTCACTGGACAGCATGGCATACAGATGTGCATATAAATGTTTACATGTAGTTGAAGGAAAGCTCACTGTGAGTGAACGAGCATATCTTTGTCGAAACACATCTAGAAATCTTGACCGAGATTGCCTTTCAAAGGTTTCTGTGTAGATCTGCGAGATTCACAGAAATTGAGAATGTGAAAGTCCTAGAATTCATCGGTCCTTGTGGGGAAAAAATCTGCTTTTCCCTAGAGAATTCTGAAGGGAATGAGAATTTACTCTGATGTCGGCCGCTTCCCTGGAAATATCAGTGCTTTTGCCTCTGAGTCTCTGTAAGACAGCTTCAAACTCCTGTTTTCGACCCACTTTTGCCTATAAAATCATTCACATAAGATTGCATAGTTCTTGGAAGCTTAGTATTACAACTTTAAATTTAATTTTCTCAGTTATCAGATTGTCGCTTGTACACAACTACTGGAAAATCCTGAAGGAACTTACCAACCATCTAGGAGACTCTGGTATGAAGTATAAACTGAAAATTTGTATTACACCAGGAATTCCACCTGAAAAATAAAATGCAAGAGGCGACCTTTTCTTAATTTTAACCACTTTTTTTTTATCAGGAATAACTGTAAATAGAGAATCCCAGACTCTACCGATCAAAGCCAAGGCGCGCCAGGAAACAATAGTCCCAACGAAGTATGTCAATGAAAAGCCACAGGCTTGCATGAACTGCAGCTCAAGAAAAATAGACCGAAAGGCAATGTATTGGCAACATAAAGCAAGCTCATAATGTTCCAATTTTATTCTTACCGAATTGAATGAAGCAAATGCTCCCCGAATTTTTTTAGGTGTTATTTCTGCGATGTATACATGTACCTGATGGGAAAAAGAGTGGTGATGATCATCGTGGTTCACATAAGTGTACCTGGAAGTCCAAAGTGCTTATTACCACATAGCCTGTGATCCCAACGCCAAATCCTATTAATGCTCTTCCAGCATCAAGCCACAAAGCATTCTGCGAGGCAACATGTAGTGTGCAGTTAAGTGATAGTGAAGAATATCGCACCCAGTCAAATTCTGGTGGAATTTCTCCAACACTAGCAAGTAGAGCTGCCTGCATTCTGCCTATCAAATTGCGATGGATTTGGACCCAAGAGATGGTAAAAGTAAGAATTGAAATTGGGTGTCAAAATGTGATGTGACCCCTAGAACCAATTTTTTTTTTGGTTGGTTCTTCATAACTGTATTGCCATAAAGCATCTGCTTGCTCAGAGGCATAAAATGTGCAAGATGTGTGTCCCTTATGGGATACTCAAGGCAAGACTCTAATTCATTTGCTAAGAGATTGTCCCTTTGCTCAGAAACTTTGGGATGACGCTGGCAAACCTCTTTCTATGGTTGGGAGCTAACAAAACCCTCCAGAGAGTGGATTAGGGATGTGACAACTAAAACTTGGTACAATAAGAATAGGATCTGTTTAGTACTTTTTCTTAATGGGATTGTGGATTCTTTGTATATATAAGGAATGCTGTTGCTTTTAATCATAATTCTAAACTAACTAACTTGGCATCTTTTTCTTTAGATGAAGCAGGGAAAATCTACTGCAGTTACAAAGATTAAATAATGCTGAAAGAAGTCCAGATCAGGATCAAAATGGGAAATTCCACAAGCTGGCTGGTGCAAATTAAATTTTGACGGAGCGGTGGTGGAGAGTACAGGAGTTGCTGGAATGGGATAATAAGAGATGATCAAGGGGAATAGGTTAATGGTTATACCCATTGTTTGGGAAAGAATTATGCATTTGCCGTGGAAGCGTGGGTTATCAAGGGGGGACTAACTATTGCTTTAGATTTAAATATAACATGTTTAGAGATTGAATCTGATGCCGGTAATGTGATATATGCTTCGCAAAATACTAGTGTTGACATCCCTAACTTGAACTCAATTTTCAATGAATGCAGGGACGTATTAGCCAAATTGTAGCAGGTGAGGATTAACCATGTATTCAGGGATCAAATCAGTGTGCAGACAAGCTAGCAAAGATGGGATTGACGGCACGATATATTTACTTTCAAATGTTTCTTCTGATTAGAAACTTTGGTTATATTAAAAAAGCAAAGAGCAATATCCTCAGAAACTCAGACTAGGAGTTGGCCTTGATCTGTACTTTCTTATTTGGAGTATTTGTATAACCATGTTTCTACTGGAAAAAAAATTGCACCCGTTGAAAGGGATGTCAAGAAACTAAAAATTTGTCCTATGGCTAGCCAACTTAAACATACTTCTATAGTAATATGAGAATACAATCATGTAAACGAACAACAGATGCGGAAATCAATTTCTTCCCTGACCAC